TGGCACACTTGTAGGATCCTCCCAAAGCAGATCCTGGTGTTTATTTATTGTAGGGTCTTTCTGGACCTAAACTTATAGGTTTGTTATTATAGGGTCTCTGAGAAACAAATTGTGGAGCTTATTTATTGCAATCTCCCTGTTATCATAGGCTCTCCCCAAACAATTCCTTGTGTTTATTTATCGTAGGGTCTCCCCCAGTGGGTCCAGCAGGTTTGTTGTTGTAGGGTCACCATGGAGATCATCCTGCTGGTTTGTTACTGTAGGGTTTCTCCAAATAAATCCGGGTGGTTATTTATTGTAGGGTCTCTCTAAAGTAGATCCCATGGGTCTGTTGTTGTGGGATCTACCCCAAATCAATCCCCCTTATTTGTCATTGTGGGGTTTCCCCAAACATATCTCAGTGATGATTGATTGTAGGGTCTTCCTGGAGATCATCCCACTGCTCTTATTGTAGGGTCTCCCTGGAGGGGGTCCAGCGTGTTTGTTGCTGTAGGGTGTCTCCAAATGAGTCCTGGTGTTTCTTTATTGTAGGGTGTCTCCAGAACTCATCCTGTTGCTTTGTTATTCTAGGGTGTCTACAAAGCAGAATCTGGAGCTTTTGTTATTATAGGGTCTCCTTAAAACAGACCCAGGTTATTTATTTATTGTAGGGTGTCCTTGAAGTTCGTCCTCCCGGTTTGTGATTGTAGAGTCTCCCCAGACAAGCCTTGGTGCTTATTTATTGTAGGGTCTTCCCAGAGTGGGTCCAGCATGTTCGTTATTGTAAGGTCTCCCTGGAGCTCATCCTGCTGCTCTGTTATTGTAGGGTCTCCCCAAATCATGTGCTGGTGCTGATTTATCATAGGGTCTCCCTGAAGTGGGTCCTGCTGGTTTGTTATTGTAGGGTCTCCCCAAAGAGCTGCTGGTGTTTATTACAGGCTCTCCCTTGAGTGGCTCCTGCTCTTCCCTTCTTGCACAGTTTCTCCAAAGAAGGTCTGGCACGTTTGTTATTGTAGGGTCTCTCCAAAGCAGATCTGGGTGTGTGTTTATTGTAGGGTCTCCCCAGAGCTCATCCTGTGGGTTTGTTATTGTCGGGTCTCCCCGAGTGAGATCCTGGTGCTTATTTATTGTAGGGTCTCCCTGAAGATCATCCCACTGGTTTGTTATGGTAGGGTCTACCCAAACAAGTCCTGCTGTTTATTTATCATGGGCCTCCCCCCCGTGTCTCTGTTGTCAAAGGGGCTCCACGGTGCTGGGGGAACTCGGTCCGTGCCTGTGGGGTGGGGACAGTGGCAGTGGCTGGGGGTGACCGTGCCAGGGCCAGTGCCAGGCCCAGGCCCAGGAGGAGGAGGAGGAGGACGAAGAGGCCGAGGCCGAGGGCCACCAGGAGCCACCGGCGCTGTCCCCGGCGCTGCCGCTGCGTCACCGCCCGAGTGCTGCGGGTGAAGGCCTCGCTCTGCAGTGGGACACGGGGGGGCTACAGGGGACAGCCCACGTACAGCCCCTGCATGGCCCTGTGCCCCCTCCCCGGGGCTCTACGCCCTGTAATGCCCCCCAGGGCTCTGTGTGTCCCTCTCAGGCCGTGTGTCCCCATAGTGTCCCCCAGAGCTCTGTGTGTCCCCCTCGGGCCGTGTGTCCCCATAGTGTCCCCCAGAGCTCTGTGTGTCCCCCTCGGGCCGTGTGTCCCCATAGTGTCCCCCAGAGCTCTGTGTGTCCCCCTCGGGCCGTGTGTCCCCATAGTGTCCCCCAGGG